TCCTTTCCAGTTATATCCCTCCCAGTGAAATTTTTATATTAATTCTCTTTCAATACATGCCTCTTATAAAAAAGAGGCACTAAAGTGGTGCTAGAAGAAGCAACAAGAAAGGGATGGAGGAATTACAATTAGGTAACAAGAGCAGCATTTTAGGGACTCATTAGAATTGAGCCACTCCAGGAAAAGCTTCATCGTCTTTCTGGGAAAATGTCCTCATCCTTATCAGGTACATCCAAGGAACCTTTAGAGCTCACAATACATTTAACAGCACTGAGGCTCTACTTTATAGCCATACTACAGCAAGGATGCTGCCAATGAACAAAATGTTCTTGATACTCTAGAGAAGCATGATAAGGAAGAAATACAAGAGTCTTGCCATGTAACATCTGACAAGCCTGCAAAAACACAGGTTAAAATGTCGTGTCAGGGTAAGAAATCTTGTTAAGGATGTTAATCAACCAGAGATCCCTGCCTTGAAAAGAGAGCAGATTTTTGGGCTAGTTCCAAGGGGACTGTTTGCACTTAATAGAATTGCTGACATCTGTAATCCGTGTTGTGTAGGTAATGCTTGGTCCTAACAGTGATACAACTTTATCTATTGATAAGAGAAATATACAAGGAGAACACTACATGCCGAAATATGCACTTGATTTTACCTGTAGTCCCATTTTTTTATTTTATTTTTTTAAACACAAAAGCTGAATTGTCCACTGCAGTGTAATTTTTTTTTTTCCTTCTCTGCTGGCATTTCAACTTGATAACACACACAGAATAACACAGTGTTCAAGATCAGAGAAACCAACACTTACTGTTCTTCGTATTACAAGTTTTACTGATTACTGCCTAAACAGGAACCCCCTCCATTCGTATTGCTGCTATGACTATAGCGGCTGTTAAATTGGCAGCCAACAAGTGCCACTTCTTCTCCCCCAACCTTTTGGCAGAACAATTGCCACAATTTATACCAGAACATAGAGCAGCCAGTCATGCTGCTCCTGGATCAGTTCAGGACCAAGCCTGCACCCCTCTAATTGGTGTAATCTCTCCTTTGCCACTGAACTGTCAAGATGTCCTCGGTCAGAAATGAGAATGCTGCTAGAAAACTTACCGTACAGACTGTATGGGACAGCAGTGATGACCATTTAAAATCCTTGTTGCAAAAGCAGTTTAAACCAGTGAACAAGTTTTGCTTGACTTTTTTATTTTTTTAAATAATATTTATATTTCTAAGGTTCTTAGCTGTCTACCTAATACTTATTTCAACAGAGCTTTTCAGACACATTACTGTTAAAGTACAGGCTTTAGATAACTCTCAAAAAAATTCTTACCTTTACTGTTCTTACCCTAAAGGTTTACCAAAGTCAATTCCACAGCAAATACACTAGGATGATGCATTTTGAGGTAACTTGTTAAGTCTAAACCAAGTACCACAGCACTGAGTATTTAATCTGAACCAAGTACCATAGCACTGAGTCAAGACACACAAAGAGTAAAGGAACAAGTGCTGAATGGGACTGTACAAAAGAATAGGCAGCTTCTGAAGTGTATGTTAAGTGAAAACCGAATAGAAAAAGCCTAGTGCTACAGATCACACTGAAGAACCATCAAAACTTCCTTACCTTGGCTTTAATGATATCGTCAGAGAAAAGAACTATCTTTTAAAAAATTCAAGTAAACAGAAGAAAGTATTTTTTTTTATCTCACCTACAGGCAAGCAAGATTCAAAGGAAGTGTTAACAGAGGTGAAAGAATTTTTACGTGAAGATAACTGTGGCAGAGAAATGGGAAGAGTTAAAACACAGTAAGAGAAAAAGATCACCCTGTGGTATAAATAGGCCTACAGTACACCTAATTACATAAATGAAGAAGTCACTTCTCAGGCACAACAAAACTTCGGATAATTTCAAAGCATGTAAACTAGCATACATTTAACTGAAAGAATCACAAATATATCTGTATAGAGTCAAATGTTCCATTACTGTTTATAATTCACTTTTGCTACAGGTGAAAAATAATTTCCTTATGCATTTCCTATTCTTTCAATAACTTCTCTTCATCCCTTCTTTTCTATTGTGCAATACTTTTAATAAAAGTTATTATAGAATCATTATGCTATACGTTTTCATTTATATACTGATTTGATACACATAAATCAATATGTATCTAATGTATGTAACATAGAATACAAAACCATTACCTCTATTTTGTATTAGAAGGCACATTTCCTTTGAACTCTCTTTAAGGAAAATGGTATGTTCCAGAAAACTGTCCTTGCTCATGCATTACCAGAGATATTTCTTTTCTCTGATGAATTACCAGAGATATTGTTGCCTGTTATCTACCAATCTGACACCATACAACACACAAGAAAAAAGGTAGCTTCTCAGAATAAACATGTGGCAAAAGGAGAGCTTGGATTTAAAAGGTGGTGTTTTATCTGACAAGTGATGTACATCCTGGCCTTATGCAGGTAGAAGTGAAAAGAGACAAAAATGAGGTTAGGCTCTGGACTATGCTGAAAAGCCATTCACCCATCAAAGAAGTAAAGCCAGAGAAGGACAAATATACACATATTACAAAAAGTGAGGTTACATGCAGCAAGTGTATAAGAAAGCACATAATGTATGTATTTAACAAATGTATTTCCCAAAGTAAGAATTCCAGAAATTTAAGTAAGTTGCAAGTGTAAGAGAAGCATTTAAATACTCATTACAGGCACAGACCAATGAGTTAACAAGTCCCCATTAATGAATTTGGAAACTAGGCCCTTCAATGCTTTATTGGAGTATCTGAAGCACGATAAACTCTGGAAACAGATTTTTTCATACGGAAAAAAAATAAACAAGCATCCAGAGTTATTTACAGAGTGAACGTATAGCCTTGATGCTCTTAAAGCAAAGAAAAAACCCTCCACCATCTAACATTAAACACCGTTATAAAATACCACCAGTGTTTTTAATGCAAAAGTCTGGGAACCTCTGTGTTTTCTATCTGGCTGACTTGATTACTTTAAGAACTTAATATTTTATCAGCTTGTCTGAATGCCCACAAGCTCCTTATATTTATAGTATAAATCTAGATAAGGGAGCTAATTTAAATGGTTTATATGTAGCTATAGAGGTAAAGCAGCTATTTCTTAAGAACACAGGTTTAGAAAGTTAAATACAAGCATAAGTATTTTACTCTTGGAAGCAATTTTATCCTGTCAAACAAAAGGTCAAACAACAGCTAAGACCAACCAGAACAGATAATGATAAAACAAGGAAAATTTCCAAAACACCAACAGATAACACAATTATTTCTAATATAAAATGGAATGATAGTAACTTTTTAAAGATCACTGCATGCTCTGGTCCTCTCTTCTTTAGGTGTCCAAGACTATAACACTATTGGTTCTACAGTTAACCCCTTCTTGAGACTGACTAGTAACTATGTCAGAAGGGTGATTACAGTTTTTAAAAGCAAAATAGCATGTGTTAGTCTGGAAAATTTATTAGTTATTTTCCAAAAACCACCTGTACATCACATAGAACCTGCTGGTTCTCCCTGTGATCTGTGAGCTTCCTTCTTCGAAGGAGGACATGCAAACAACTTTTTCCAGCACAGATTCACAACTACCCTGGTCATCATGCAGAAGCAAAATTCTTGTAGGGGGAAGAAATTTAGCTGTAAAAAGCCTTCCTCTTTCGGAATTCAGGTTCAACTGTTAGGGAAATCACTGATGCCCTGAACATTAATGGACTCTGTCTCATTCCTACAGCATGATCGGCCAGCACACAACTGCTTTGTTGGTTGCTAGGGAGCAACAAGCTCATTACGCGGCATCATCCGCACCCTCCACAAGGATTCTGGCACATGCTTCCCATCTGGGGATACTACTGACTGAAGTAACAGCACCGAAGTGCCTGCCAGTCTTCAGTCTCCTAGGGTGGAGCACGCCAATACAGCAGGTGCTAACTCTAGCTCTACCTTCGAGGTTTTAGGCTCTACTCTTTGCGAGACTGGCCAACATAATGCAACACACAAAGAGGTCAGAACAGCCTTCCACAGCTATTGGCATGGATACCCCTTATTTTTAAAGGCCAAATCTAGACAAAGATGTCCTTCCTGAAATTTTGGCAGACACATGGCTTTTCTGACTAGGGCAATGATTGCCACAATTCTAAAGTCTGTGCTAGAGAATTCAGTAAAAATGGAAAAAGGCTGGCAGGGGAGGGCGAAAAAAAAAAATAAAAATCTTCTTTTCAATCATTAAGGGAGCACAAGATTTGGAGGCATTTACAGAAGACGTACAGAAACCTAGTGATCTCCAGGCTGTATACATTAAATCCTTGGAACGGATATCAGCCGTGAACAATCTGGGTCACTTCAAAGTCTAAACATGCAACCTTGATGCATTTTTTCAGCTGTTTGTCTCATTAGAACTTCACAGATCTACTCACAGTAAGAAAAAAAAAACTGTCAAGAAATAAAAAAGCCACCCTGCTTCCATATGCCAGGAAATTTATTAACTAACAATCTATCTGCATTACACAGAGATGGTATCTAATGATTTTCATGTACCTGTCATATGTAAAACGCCATCCAAGAATTCTTAGTGCTGGTGAATTAACAAGCACATAAGGGAATACAGCTGTAGATATGCATAGAAACATATACATTCAAATCCTTTGGCAACTTCAAAATGCCTTTTTTTTTTTTTTAACAATTCCATAAAGAAACATAAAAAGGAATGAGAATGAAGGCAAACTGGGATGATTCGCTCATCAAATACATGGAACAACAGGTCTATTTGAAAGGGATAGGTAAAGGCAAAAAGTATCAACTTTCCCTCTTACCTGAAGTTAAGATTAAATTCTTAGGAATTTAAGAAGACCAAGATACAAAAAAATGCTCACCACTAATATATGAAATAATGTCATGGGGACTCATGTGTCAGCTAAACGCATTTTTAAAATAAATGATTAGTTTGAAACACAAATATGTACCTAAGTCCTTACCTGTCTCAACAATTTCTCAACAGCTGACATTACCATGAGCCCTCTCCACACAACCGGGGCAGTCTCTTCTATCAAGAAACCCATAGACATGCTGAAAAAACAAAGCAAAAACTTATGCTTTCCAGCACGATACCAAGTACATCCATAAAGAAGCTTGATTTGAATTAAAACGTATGCTCACCATGCGATTCCATAGTTCTTAAGGGGCCTCATTAGATTTTCTAAAACAGAAGCAAACAAGGGTTTTTTCTGGGGGGGAAGTTGGTTTTGGGTTGTGGTTTTTTGTTTTTTTTTTTTTTTTTTTAAACAAAATAAGCTTACACAATTTTTTTCCTTTTAAGAGCACTTTTCCCCCCTCTGTTAAAAGCATTTATCTATTTTTCCCCCTCATCCCTTCAATATACATATACATTTATCTATGCTACCCAGGAACCTGGCCCTACTTTTTCTTAGGTGGTTACATTTTACGGATACCATTCATCTTTCGCCAGAATAACAATGCATTTGCCCATAACATAATGTCACTTTGTGCTGCCGAAACCAACTTCATCTATTTGTATGAAATCCCCATGCTGCCAGGCATAAATCCCCTATTAGGCAGCCTTCTACTTCTGCAATACTTGGCTAAATGCAGTGTCATTTATATCAGAACAAAATCAAAGTCCTACAACACAATGGGATTTTTTTTTTTTAAACTATGCTGTTCACTAATCTCATGAATCAGAGGATTGTTCCCATTAACACACCAGTGTTTTAGGGAATTCTTCTCCCTGTATTAAGTCTGCTTTGGAATCTGAGAGGAGAGGTACCAAATAAAGCCACCCCTAAACTACATGCTGTCAACAACTCCAGGTAAGAAGTCCTGGATTTCTTCAGACTGGCAGAAGTCTGCAGGACTTATGAAATTTATGTAGGAACAAAAGATGCTTATTTGAACACTGCAGAGGTAGTGTTCCTGTCATGCTCCATATTCCTGTGCTTTCCAGTGTCAAGAAAAAAAAAAGGGGGAAGGAGGGGAATATTGTGGTTGTTCTGCTGGCAAAGGGGCAAGCAAGCAGAAAGAAAACAAAAAAAATTTAAAAAAGACTGCATTCAAAACAAAACCTCACAACAGCCAAAACCTCCTCTTTATAGTCTCTGCCATCTAAATCCACACCTTATCTCAAAATGTTTTGCACACACATGTAAGAACAGAAGGCATTTTATTTGGTCTAGCTGGTTTATGCTGAGAGCATGTACAGGCAGAAACCAGCAGAAAATGGAAAGAATACTTTAAGCAATTAAAAAAATATATTATAATACATATTTTGACAGAATTCTTTGATGCACCTGAAGTGAAATAGATATAGATAGTAAAATAAAACCAATGTGAATATAACGCAGTGCATTCAAAGCTGAACTCCAAATTCAGAAAAAATAACACCCAAGAGCACGCAAATTAAACAGCTAAACTCTACAGATGAAAGCTTTCAAGCAATCAAGCAAGTGGGTATTCAAGCCATGTAATTTTGTAAAAATATGGCTGAAAATAAATTGGATGTTTTGGTATACAAATCAAAAAGAACAAAATAGGAAACTAAACCTCTTGCATGACTATTGCGTTCAGGAATGAGTATGGAACTGCTATTGGAAAAGAGATGGGCTTGGACTGATGCACTGCACCAGTGTAATACAATGCTACCTGTGGCAGCTCCCTTCAGTGTTTTGTCAGGGCTTATTTTGGTGGCATTATACCACCTAAACACATTTCTAGGAATCACAGCCTTACTTCTCCCCCATGCAGTAAGAGAGTTTTGTTATGAAGAAGTTGATGACATTTGAACTTCAGCCTAGAGCCATCTCTAGGCACTGCTTTGGTGTCTTTGTAAACAACGTATGTACTTGCCACAAGTGATAATACTGTTAGAAGGCCTGAGCAAAATGACTGCATATTTACCTATGAGAGGGTTTTAAAAAAAAAAAAAAAAAAAACAGGAAAAAAGTATCTGCAACAGCATATGTCACTGCAGATTCAAGATCTGCTTCATTTTTACCATGAAATAGGAATGATTTTAAGAAAAATAAAAGAAAAAAAAAAAAAGGGAGGCCAATCCTTGACCACTCAGGACACAAGGACCAGGAACTGGAGGGTATGAAGAGTGGAAAAGATGCATTTATTCTGAGCCACTTCTCAGTTCAATCCAAGTGCTCTGCAGTATGTCAGTCAAATATCCAGAGGCTAACTTCTCAACATCTACTACCTGCACAGACGGTTTCTTCTGTATAGAGCCTAGGTAAACACACTAACCTCACAGGGCAGACACAGCATCAGAGATCTCCCTCTCCTTCACCTCAGTGGGCAAAATAGGAGAGCTGCTCTGAGTACACAAACACTGACCTACAGAGTAGCCAAAGGGACCTCTCTGTTGTTAAAACACACGTGCTGTTTATTTCTCAATGGTAGAGTTTCATTTTATGAAAACTGGATCTTATTTTCTTTGGTTAACAACAAGGACTATAAACTGCTCCCAGCAGCAAGATTTAATCAAACTTATACAGTGCACAAGAACAATTCACAACCTGCTGTATATTCCGGCCATAATGTTCTGCATATTCTGAAAGTAATACAAAATACTGCAGAGCACCCCACTGTTTGCCTACTGCTAAAAAGCATTCTCAAGACTATCTCAAATCTAAAGTGCTTCAGTGGGCTCTGGTAATCACCCTTATCTCATCAAAAGCAACAGGCATTCCTCTTCTTCGTCGTGGGTCTTGTGAAGGTTTTCTAAAACATAACACGTAAAGAAGATTTAGCTTAATGAGACCTCAGTAACATCTCAAATTTCCTTTGCTTTCAGAGCAAACATTTCCTTCTCTGTTATCAGATGCCTACCATACAGCTCCAAAAATCCAACACACAACAAAATGGGTTTCTTAAAATTGCAACACAGCAATACTATGCCACCTACTCAGAGAGATCAATAAAATATCCTTGTTTACAACTTTTCAGTAAGCTTGATGGCCCTAAATAAAAGGGTGCTGTGTTTTCTCTGAACATACAAAATGAGATCAATAAGATCAACAGAGCACCAATGAAATGTCAATAAAATGCCTCTTTTGGTAGGATACAAGTAGGGCACTGGAAAAGGCAGGCACATGAAAATTCACAACAGCATTACAGAAGATTGCTGTTTGAGAGAGGTCTAGGTCTGGTCTGAAGGCTGGATTGTTATGTGGGGAAGAATGATGTTGAAGTCATTAGGATGGATCTACTGCATTTTGTGACTTTTTTTTTTTTTTTAAAAGCTTTTTTCCCCCCAGAAAAATCAAGCCTTGCAGACTATCCTGACAAGGTAACCGAGTTCCTCCACTCTTTTTCTCTAGAAAGCCTGACATAGATGTTCAATGGTGGCCATAGGTTAGTGCAGCACGGAAGGTATGTACAGAGCTATATATACGGGTTTGCCTGGGATAGAGTTATATTTCTTAATAGGAGCTTGCAGGGTGCTATGTTCTGGATTTGTGATGAAAACAGTGATGATAACACAGAGAGTTATTGCTGAGCAGTGCTTGCACACCACCAAGGCCTTTTTTGCTTCTCATGCTGTCCCACCAGCAAGGAGGCTGGGGAGGGGACACAGCTGACCCCAGCTGATCAAAGGGACGTTCCACACTATATGATGTCATGCTCAGCAATAAAATTTGGGGGATGAAGAGGAAGGGAGGGACGTTAAGAATGATGGCATTTTGTCTTCCCAAGTAACCACTGCATGTGAAGGAGCCCTGCTTTCCTGGGGATGGCTGAACACTGGCCTGCCCATGGGAAGCAATGAATGAATTCCTTGCTTTGCTTGCGCGCGCAGTTTTTGCTTTACCTATTAAACTGTCTTTATCTCAACGCACAAGATTTTGCACTTTCCCCTTCCAATTCTCTCCCCATCCCGCTGTGGAGGACTGAGCGAGTGGCTGTGCGGTGCTCAGTTGCCTGCCAGGGTTAAGCCACCGGGAGACATTTCAATTCTTGGCTCAGTTTTCAAAAGAGGTCTGCTGACTGATACATTACAGCAAGCAAAGGCTTACATTCAGTCTTATCTCATCAGGTAAGTAAAGATCATTATTCTAGAAGATTGTGATGTTATACTACACCTCCTTAGGAGGCATCATGCTGTTTAAGAAAAGCAACGGTAGCTTATAATTATTAAATATGAGTATAGTGGATCATGCAACACCCTAGCAAATCTATTTTGAGCTCACTGACTGAGCGAGCACTAATGCACAGGAGTTGCTCAGAGTTTTCAAGTGTCTGAAATAACAGATAAGTTGGGGTTTTTTACCATTTCAAAGGCAAAAAAAAAATTAAACATGAGATAAGAACACAAGAAGCTCTGATTTTACTCATTGTTAGAGATGTACTCGGCTATTTTTGGAACCTGCCTCTACAATGGAAGATCAGAGACTCCCCAGAATGGTAGCTAATTATCTTATTTAACGTTTGGAAGTCACCTGTCTGTCCTAACTGGATTTTGGTCATTGAGCAGGGAAGTGGCACTTTTAAGTTTTTCTAAGATGGGAAATCAATTGCTAAACCTACCAAAAAGTAGAACAATTGTATGATTTTCCACTTGAAAACATCCTACAGACCTTTGCATGCAGATTTCCAAATATTTCCAAAGATGCTACCAATGCAGAAGTGTTTGCCAGCACAGACACCACTGCAAGCTCTGGGCTATGCTCTGAATGCATCTGTTTCCTGATTCTTACACAAGCCCCGTTTCTGTAACACCCATGCACCTAAAAAACCGATTTTTCCTAACAACATGCTTCCGAGGTGGGGAATTATTGTCTTATGTCACAGATGATAGAATCAAGACCTGGGCTGTGAAACTTGCTCTAGGTTGTTCAAGAATCCTGTGGATTTGGAGACCTATGCTGTGTTTCCCCAAGATCTGACGCTCTAACAGAGTCATGGCTCTACTGACAGCATCTCCAATGTTGGAAAGCATGTTAATGCACAACTGAAACATCTAGGAGATCTAAACAGTTTAGGTGCATTGCTGAAGTTACATATTTTCCCTTGAAACTCCCAAATATATCTGAAAGAATTAAGATTTTAAAAAGCAAACTGAGGTACGGTGTACAACAGAAAAAGCTGTAGAAAGTTACACTACATATTTATAATACCTCAGTCTCTGAGTGACGTTTTAGCATCTTGCATTTAAGCATCAAAGCAGCAGCTTTAAAA